TGTGTGTGTGTGTGTGTGTGTGTGTGCGTGTGTGTGAGGGGACCCTCTCTTTCAACCTCTGTCGTTCTTTGTGTTGGTACCACACCTCTCCCTGTGAGTGTGTCAAATGAGTCTGTGCGTTTGTGTTTGATAGCGTGAGTATGTGTGTATTTTAAAGTGTGTGACGTTTACCAGCAGGTTCAAGTTGTGTCCAGTTCGGATGAGTTTCATGAAATAAAATTCATCTCATCTGCAGTTAAACCCTCAGGTGAACATGTGTCTAATAAGCAGAACCATCAAATGCAAATTAAACACTTTGTACTGAGCCACGTGAACACAAATAATTACCCTGACGCTCTCAAAAAGGAGCTTTATGTCCTTCCGCCCACGCGTCATATCTTACTTTAATAACAACCTCTCTGGGCTTGCTAGGTTTTCACAACCTCATGACCTGTCTCTGCCTCGGAGCACTACAGAAAGCCATCTGATGCACGTCACTGCAGTGCACACATGGCATAAACTATCAAAAGCCAGGGGGAAATTCTGATGCTTCGCTGAAAGGTCAGGGCATTTCAGTGAGAGAGAAAACAAGAGCTCGTGTCCTCTCAGTCCTTATATTCACTTCCTGCTGAGGAGGCGGTGAATTCACGTAATCTGGTGTTTCGGGTAAAGATTCTGCTGATAAAAAATGTGAAGGAAGTGAACTGCTACCTTCTAGCAGACAGAAACACTCTATAGTCTATAAATCCCAGACGTTGACACAGTTCCGTCTGTGCGATGCATAACTTACCTCCTTTGGCATCTGTCTCCAGGGCTGGGGGAATGGCATTTCTCGATTCACTAGAGTCAATGGAGACGCTCCGCTCCCGCTTGGATTTGGTTTTCAGCATCCCTCCGACGCTGCTCACCGATTGGCTGACAGCCTTCAGCACAGGGTTGCCGGAGGAAATCTGGTTGGTTTTGACTCCATGGCTCCCAGCGCCAACGCCCTTTGAACCCAGGTGGCCGGCAGCTCCCTGCTGCTGTGCCTGTGGGTTTACGCCAGGGTTCTGGGATCGGGTGTCACTGGTGGCCTGCTTGCCATGATTGGCCAGTTTACTGTCTTGGAGCATTTGATCAGCTGGAGGTCCGGTATGGAGAATAGCTGTGCCAGTTTGTCAGTGGAGCTCACATTGCTTACAAACACTGGTGGAGAAAAATAAAATCATGATCATCAGAGTTTCATAATAAAACTGATTAAGTTTTCTTCATATGGTCTAATTTAAGGCTTCGAATCTGACAACTATCAGAGCAGCACTTGGAAATCATTAAATTGTTACTGGAGAGATTTTGTCACACATTAAAGTAAAGTATTTCGCTTATTTTGTGCTTTAAAATAAAGCTTGAATATTGACCCTGTACAAAGTTTGTGTTTGGCAACACTCTAGTTCCAGTTTCAGGTTAGGGCTTTAATCTTTAACCTTTTCAGCCCATGCACTCACCTCATCTCACCCAGATGTTCAGCTGACACACTGCCATGCTGCACTGCAGGACCCCTCACTTACAACACATGGACCTGAGGGACAACAAGAGAGTAACGTCATCAGAGGAGGCAGATAGCAACTTTTACAGTCAGTGCTATCTGTCAGCTTGTGTGTGTTCAGCCCATGGGTCAATATCAACGTCATGAGCAAAGACAGAAGAGAGAGAAGTCATAAGTTTGTCAGGAGAGGAGTGTGAGGCCACAGAGACACTGTGAGGTAACTGTCCCTTTAAGCGACAGAGGGCAATGACCGAGGTAGGGAGTGACTTGAAACTCAGAAGTAGCTCAGCAGTGTTTCAGGTCCCTCCCCCAGCCAAACACTTAACAAACCACAAAGACACCACACATTCCACAACACTGTCTGTAGCAATACCTGTCTCTCCCTCCCGCCCAGGCTCACACACTCTGTTGCACACTTTAAGTTCAAGCATGAACACGCAAATACTCATTAGCTGCCTATTACAGACTTTAGTTTTTACAGTTAGTTAGCCACACCATTAACTTAAGACTTCATTAGAATGATACGCTTTTTAAAAACTATTTTAATGCGACCTGAAAGCACAGACGATTAGGCCTTCACCTCAAGCCTCTGATATCTGCTTTATGGTTTGCTGGAGAAAACTGCTTTCAGACGAGCAGCATTCAAGCTCAGCATTCAGAATGAAGGACACTCTTCAGCGTTTAAGGCTTCAATCTTGAGTTCAAGTCCATAGCTGCAAGCTGACGCCCTCTTGACACCACATGCCTGTGTCCTTAACCCTAACTAACTGGGGTGTGCTTTCTCTCTGTGTTGGAGAATTTATGTGCAATCTACAAACACAAGTTGTACACAACCTTTCTTGATGCCTATCCCTCAGAGCTGGTTGTGCTCAGTGTATTAAACAATTCTCAGTATTCGCAGGTCTCAACACGACTCCCCCACACCTGTTGCTGGTGAACAATAGTTGGTCAAAACACTCATCCCGGCCTGCTCAAAGACATCTAGCCCAGATATTTGGCTGACGTGAAGCAGCAGATCTCATGTAAATATTTCCATCGAGTTCCATTTTTGGCCGATGACACATCCCTGCACAGCACATAGCCTAGTTAGTCAGGTCAGCTGTCATGCTCTTACAGATCCATCTGTACTGCTCACTCACCTTGGACGGGTAATGGTAAACACACTGCTGCAATTAGTCATTAACTAACGCAGGCTCAAGTCAGCACAGAAAGGTGCCTTGTTCTCTGGCAGGGGAACTCAACACTCATTAACTCAAACAGGGACAGTCAGGCATCACTCCTGTTGACAAAGTGTGACTCACTTGCTTTGTGTAACACAAAGAGGAGGCAGATTATTGGTATGGTGAGACGCTGACCTTTGAGTGGACAGTTAAGCAAAGATAGGTCTATCTAAAGAGCATACCAATCTGGTAGATATCAAGGAGACTCCCAATCATTACCTCCACCAAGGAGGTTGTTTTCACCCGCATCTATTTGTTGGTTTGTCAGCAGGATTGTGCATTGACAATGACACAGATTTCCATGAAACTTGGTAGAAGGATGGGACCTTGACAGAGAACCATTTCAATTTAGCTTTAATTTTCTAATCACTTAATTATTGCGAGCATTTTCAGACATTGACCAATTTCCCAGCATATCTTTAAAAATCAGGCATATCGAGGGGACTGAGTGTGTGCAATGTGAAGTGGCTTGACTTAATTTAAGGGGACTGTTGGGCCTTAGCGGAGGAATGGTTCTACTCAGTGCCATTCTACTTTCTGCTGTGTTCGACATAATCAACATGGTGAAAAGGGAAAAGCCTGAAGAAGTCCGGTGAGGCCCAGCAGAAATACTGCAGACATTTGTAGTAGGTAGAAGTCATTGAAGGGTCTTATAAAGGATGTCTTACTTCACCAGGAGTTACAAGCATCACGCCTCCATTATCCACACTCCTTGCCACATGTATGGAGTCTATATTTATGCAATCAGCCACAAGGAACATTACACTTACAGCAACTTGGGAAAAGAGAACTGGATGAGTTTTATAGTGGATTTTCAGTCCGATAAAAGTGGCCAAACCATTCTGCCCTAATGAATATATAATATAAGATGTTGTTCTTTGACCTTCTGGAGCAGTAGCGTCATGGGATGCTGTTGTGACTAGCCATTTTTAGTCGGAACATTAATGTTTAACAAAACTGTTATGCGGTCACAGGTTTGAGAAAAGCAGGTTTCACCATTGAAGCCAAGAAATAAGAGTGTATTTGTGCAGTGCTGTTTGCAGACTTGAAACATTATTTTATTTGGAAAAACTCCCAGTTTGTGTTACAACATTAGGAGAAAAGTGCTTCGGGCATGGCAGACAGGAGATCACAATTAAATATCATAAGCCATAATGTTTTATAATAGTTCATTTTAGATTAAACCTGTGACATGGAAGGTCTGGTTTACAAACAATTAATTTAGGATGGTACAAATTATTCATTTGAGGATTAATAAAACTACTTGTACTTGTTCTGTTTGTTTTTTCATGCAAATAAATGTATGACTATTTCGTTTCACTTTTCCGTTGACTTTTTTTTTTAGGGTTAATCAAAATCAAATGAAATCCAATAGTATAATAGCACAGATGCAAGTAAAATCTGTCTCGTATTTGGTGCAATTGGTTTTCATTTTTACTGAGAAAAAGGCATTAATGAATCAGGCAAAGCTGGAGCGCCATTACTAAACTTAATTGATGTCATCTGCATTCATTACATCCTGACCTCAGCACATGAACACAACAAGACATTTAACAGCTAATCTTGAAAAATGATTAGTACTTAATTATGATGACATTTGAATGATGAATCAAATCAAATCACCCCGGCTGCTGTGGCATTAATCTACTATCAAATCAAGGTGGTAAAATCAAAGTTAATGTCCCTTAAGGGAATTGCTATCCCTTTTCCGTCCCCCCATATCTACTCAAACGGTTTCTGCAAAAGCACATTTGAACATTTCTGTTCACTCCATCTGTTTGTTTTTATGTTGACAAGGTTTCAGCTCTCTTTCTGTTCATAGAGAAAAAGATTATCCTCTTCTTTTCATTCATTTTACATATTTATCAATGGAAAATGTGTTGCTTTTATAGGTTTGCAGGTCCAAAATGCCTATTTCCAGATGCAAAATGACAGACATCTGGGACCAGGCATTAGAGTCTTTCTCACCAAGGTTGAGCTGAGGCAACAGGCCCCAAAAGCCTGAAAAGCATGCAGGGAGGGGAAATGGATAGATGGATGGATCGATCAATAGATGAAACCTGATTAAGACCCAAGTCTTACTGTGCGATAGAGCATGCTGACACATTTGGAAATGTACAAACACAAGTTTAGCTTGTTAAAGGTACAGTGTGTAGAATTTTGCGATATCTAGTGTTGAAGTGTCATGTTGCAGCTGAACACCCGTCACCTCACCCTCTCCTTCCAAACATGAAAAAGAAACTGTGGTAGCTTCAGTTGTCATAAAAACTCAAAAGGTGTTTAGTTTATTCAGTCTGGACTAAAGTAAAAAACATGGCGGCCTCCATAGAGAGGGTCCCCTTGATGTAAATATAAAGTATCTAAATATAAATGGTCTTTTCTGGGGTAAAGAAAACTATAATTCATACAATTTAGATGAAATGAATTAGTGAAAACATCATGAGGATTATTCTACATTAAATTTCTGACAATAGTTCCCTTTCACCTAAATCTTACACACTGGACCTTTAAGTAAAGGGCACTGGCTCCTGTGAATAATCAAACATACCTTGTGTTCACAGAGACTGACTAATCAAGGCAATATGGTGTCACTCATACTGACAAGCAGCTGACCAGTTACTGACAAGACAAACTAAAAACAAACCATGTTAATAATAATAACGTGGCTAAAAGCTTAAAAAACAATTAGAGCTAATAAAGTACCATGACATTTGACTCTTGGATTTACTCAATGACCACTGCTCAGTAAATAACACAACCATGCAAGTTTACAGGAGCTGGATACAAATAAGCACATTATAATAAAGTGCGAACAGATGGGTGCAGGACTGTGAAGTACCTTGTTGTAACAAGGAGAGGAGTCTGGACAGGAACAGACCAGAGACTGTCAGTCGACTGTAGTAATGTTTGCGCATGGAGATGCCCAGAAAAAACAGGCAGAGACACAGTACCTGGCTACACCGGTTATAACACTGCTATGTGTAAGGCTACTATTAAATGTGAATGTGTTGTGTATTTGACTGAGTTTGCAAAGATCTCCTGATATTTGGTACATAATGAACATAAAGTCACTATGGGTTTTTAATGGAGCGACGTGGGGTAGTTTTTAAGAAGGAATCAGTCATCTCTACACTCATATCAATAATTTATGTGAATACAATTCCAGAAAAAAGGTGTTGTCATGTAATATGTGGAAGTGATGTAAAAGAGTACACAGTGGGTGTGTAATAGCCAGTAACCTTCATGTATCCATGGAACAATGCGAAATAAAACTGCATTTAATCCACTTAGATTGCCAATGACTTGACAGCTTTTACTGTTATTGCGTACATGTTCACCCTGCAGCCAAAACTGTCAAACCAAAAGTAAA